AATGTTTCAATTAAAAGACAGAGACAATTTTCAGGATAGATTTGGGCACAAGAGCACAGCTGTCGACACAGAAGCACATCTAGATATCTCAGGCTGATTAAATACCCAAAATGCATTAAGAATGTTAACTGCAATGTTAATTTTTATTATAAAAAAAAACAAAATCAGTCATAACATCACAATGCTTTAACGGTCATGTGCACCTCATAGAACACAGCAAGAAGTAAAACTCTTCAAAGTACTTTAACTTGCATTGACAAAATATTAAAAAAATACTGTTCTGATGTCATTGGTTTTAAGTGCAGTGTTGTCCATTTTTGGTTTTTAAAACAAGTTTAGGCGTGAGAAGCTACGCTCTTTGCTGGCAAACTTTAAAAGAGTTAAAAGTTCACAGAGCTCCGGAGATGTCTGGAGAACGGTCTGAGAGATCACGTTCACAGAGTTCTCAGCACCTCTTCAGAAGTTGAGCGTTCTTGAAGTCGCATTAAAGAGCAGAAAAGTTCATTATACAAATTAGCAGCATCAACATGATCAGCATATATATGTGTATAAACAGGATATATCAGGATTGTGGCTCTATGGCCAAGGATCTGCGCCTGGGGCTGGAAGCGTTTGCCGGTTCAAATCCCACGGCCAGCAGAGGAATCCTACTCCGTTGGGGCCCCTGAGCGAGGCCCTTCACCCCAGCTGCTCCAGGGGCGCCGTACAATGGCCGACCCTGCGCTCTGACCCCCAGCTTCTCTCTCTCCCTGTCTGTGTGTCTCCTGGAGAGCCAGCTGGGGTCTGCGACAAGACCAATTCCTCATGCAAGACATTGTATAGGGCCAAGAAAGTGATATTATTATTATTATTATTATTATTATTAATAATAATAATATTAATATCAATAGTTGCGAGTAATAGGTTTATTCCCGAGCTGCAACATTAGTTAAGGCATTCCTTTGACAAAAGATCCATGTGTGGTTGTATCCGGTTATGAAACACGCTGCCGGGTTGTGTTCTGGCTATATGCAGTCCCTGGCGCCGTGTTTTGAGTTTGCTGGTCAAAATATTTATAATAATATACATGACACCAGTCCATCACAGGACACACACACACACA